AGGGACGATTCACCCGAAATGCGAGCGTACCGCGAAGATAAGGCGAAGCAAGACGAGATGATCAGCAATTATGCGAAGATGGAGCTAAAATTAGAAAGTCTGCAGCACGCCAACGAACAAATGGCCGCTTCGTACAAGTAAGCAGGGATGTTGACCTGCTCGTTTGGACAAACTAAATAAAAATTCTAGGTCCCAAGAGGACGAACTTAATCTTGTCAGGTCGCGAGTTGATGACCTTACACGTCGGTTAGCTTCTGCAACCGCGTCGAATCCCTTTAACAAATCAGCAACTAAGGCTGCTGCGGCGACACAAGAACAGATACGCCAACTTGAAGAGGAAAATAACGAGCTCAGGAGTAAGAACGCCGTTCTGATGGACGAAGTTGAGGAAGTCAAAGCAATGGTGGAATTTCTCCGTTCTGAACGTGTTAATTTCGGTGGCCCTCAATCACCGGCACACCGCGTGAGCGACCCGAGTGGTACATCTCCACGCCTCACAACCCTAGCGCTCGCCGATTTAACTGATGCAAGCGCTGACCGTCCCCAAGATGTGGTTTCGGCAGCGTAGAATTTTTGCGTATCCATTTGGCTGAATCAGCTCATGTATCATAAAAGAAATCTACTCATGCTTTGTATTTCTGATCGAGGTTTGAAAGTCATGGCCAGAAACAGGTAATGGTGGCCAAACGAAATAATGGCTCTTGTTGCATCTACTCTAAATTTTGTTTTACTTTCTACTCTAAACACAAGCACGTACAAGGACAATTCTGATTCCGCAGGGCCAATAACTTTGGCGCCGGGCCACGGCCCGCCGGAGTTCCCCCGGAGGTCGATGGGGCTCAAAACTCATGGTCACAAAATTGATTCAGGATGAAATGTGTCAGATAATTGCAGGTGTTGCATAAGAAGGTGACAAAAGATGTGGTCAGCATGGGGGTCGAACCCATGGCCTTCGAGTGGCTTACGTAGTGCTCTACGCAATATTAGCTCGACGCTCTAACCAACTGAGCTAGCCAACCTTATGTCTCGATGAGCATGCTTCAGATCTATACGGTTACATGGTTCTAAACACCCGCATATATACGACCTACTCACGTTTGACTCGCCAGTACCCTCCCCAGCTTGTGTCATCCCGCCTTGTAGCAACACATTCTCCTGCGGATCGAGTCGAGCTGTCGATCATAACTTTCAAGCATGGTCTACCATTATCATACCTATAGCGGCCGCGTGTGTGGCTTATATGAAAACTATTGTTTAATATTAAAGCAACAGAACATCCATTTTTTGAGTTCCTGCACGCCTGTAGGCTTTATCTTACGGCTAGTTTTCTGGCCCGTTGATTGTTACTGTAGCAAATACGTTACTGATTACACAAGCGCTTACGACCAAAGCCTCCCAATTGAAGTCCCTTAGGACCATCAGCTCGACTTTTGCCAACTTTTTGCTCGGTGGCAAATCAGTGACCCTATTAGGTAGGCGATGTGTAACTATCTGGACGCTAGCTGCGGAGAATGAATTCGCTAGGGACTGAACCATGGACGCGACTCTAGACTTGTTGCTGTTTGCTTACTGCTTGGATCATGAACGCGTGTTTGTAAATCACGTTCTCTACTGGGCCTCTTCGTCAAGTGGACCTCAACGACCTCTTCTAACACCGCAGTGGATTTGCCACCCATAGTCTACAGTATAAAGTGCGAGAGATGTGAGTGAGTTGCAGCCCAGCTACCAGTTCTCGTCTCACTCAAACATGGCTTCTTCGTCGAAGACACCCGACCACCGTGCTCGGAACCGAGCTGCAAATTCCTCGACTGGCAGCAAGCGCAAGGCACAATCGCTCGCCGAAACCAATCCCACTGACCCACACAACCGAACTACTCCAAGAAAGCCTCGCAGCGGTGTGGCCGACACTACCACTCCTCGCAACCTCGGATCTGCACAACGAACGAAAGAAAGCTCTGGGAACGCTGGTGTGACGTCTCGGCCTTCTAGATCCACCAAGTTCCGTACGACCGACGCTACTCATTCCCGTACAAGTAGCACTATCCTCGCGACCCCCGACGCACCTAAACAGTTCGAGATGGACCGTTTCCTCGAATCTGAAATGCAGGGAGCAATTTTTTGCGACCCCAAGTTCGTCGAGAACTTCCTAAGCGTCGACTCGACCAGGCTACAGACTGTTCTTGAGGACTGTGAAGACGGCCTCGACGCTCTGCGATTCAACGACCGCGTCACTCGGGAGCGCCAACTCTATGACTCTATTCGCGAGGTACTCAACATCATCAAGGCAGCCGTCGACGGCAGCGAGAACACCGACCAGTTTCTCGATGTCTCTGCGGAACCTATCACAGCTCACTACGACGATATGGCTGGAATCAAACCTGACCTGGTGCTGTTCGAAGGGGACACTCATCACTGGGAGACCGTCAGGACGCCGATCGAGGTGAAGAGGCAGGCGACATACCTCAAGACTGGGATGAAGCAGCTGACGCGGTACGCACGGGCGGTGTTTGCGCACCAGTTGCACCGCCGCCACCTATATGGGCTGGTCGTATGCAAATGGGAGGCAACGTTTGTGCGGTTCGACCGGAGCGGGATACTACACTCGAAGCCAATGGATATACGCAGTCAGGACTTTCGTGAGGCGTTCGCTGGGCTGATGATGCTGGACGAAGAAGCGTTTGGATACGACACGGCGTTTACTACTCGACCCAGGAGGGATGGGCGACTCGAGTTCTACGTGGACTTGCCTGGTGAGGCGTTCCCGCCCCAGGAGCGGGACGTGGCTACGACCAAAAACGAACCTGGCAGTGCCACTGGCGCCCCCGGCCCCAGCAACTCGCCCAGCGGAATACGGAAGCTGCCAACTCGAAGGCTCAAGGTGATGGAGCGGTTGTGCCATCGCAAAAGCATTCGCGGACGCGCGACGATTGTGCTCCGAGTACGGGAAGTCATACAAGCCGGGACTTCAGACGAGCTAGAAGTGGCTCCGAAATGCGTCAAGACACGCGGCCAAAGGAAACAAGCACAAGCTTCACCTGAACTACCTGAGGAGCTCGGAACGCAAGACTACGTGCTGAAACTGATGTGGCGCGACCCGAACAAGAGGATGGAAGGAGAAGTGCTCGAACGCTTGGTAGGTACATATGGGGTGGCACAGCACATGTGGCACAGCGACGTCTTCAAAACTTGCAGCTCCCAGGATTGCGGGGGGTCTCTGGACAATTCTTGTGGTGGCTGCGTAGATAGAACGCCAGGCCGAGCTCGAATGTTGGTTACGAAGAACTTGACCGACTTGGACATTGCGATACCGGAAGAGGCTGAAGGGGAAGAGGAAACGGTCTACAGTAAGTGTACACCAATCGCCTCCTTATATTCTTGTGCTCATATACTCTCGTTGCAGGGGAAGTCGAGACGAACGAATACTCGGAGGTCCACGCTCAACGGACGTCGCGCATCTACTGTCGACTACTTATGTCTACCGTTGGTTCTCCTCTATGCTCAGCGGAGAGCCCGCGCCAGCTACTTCAGGCGGTGCTAGATGCGATCCTCGGTAAGCCCGCAATTGTTCCTCAGCCCATTCGCTAACTTGAATTCGATTAGGCTACTGGGAACTTGTGAACAAGGGATTGCTGCACCGAGACATCAGCGATGGGAACGTGCTAATGCTTCAAGAAGGCAGCGGGTACAACAAGCGGGAGTGGGAAAGTCAACAGGAGCCCGTGAGCGGCAAGGACGCGTCCCAAGCAGAATCGGAGAAGCTATTGCAAAACGTGCTGAAGACGTTGGGCCGGGACCCGAGCGGAATCTTGAACGACTTCGACCTGTTTACGACGCACAATCAAATGGGTGCTTCGTTCTTCCACGAACCAACTTCTGAAGACGACGAATCTGGTACGTGATGGAGGTCTGGCAGCAGTGTTGTTTCTAACTATGAAAATGTAGCGGGGCGAGGGATGAAACGGCGCAAGTTGGACTCTTCGACCTCTACAACTACTCATTCCACCGTGTCAGACAAGGGCAAAGAACCCGAGACATATGGGTCCGAAGAGTCGAGCTTAACCCAAGTCGCCAACGCGGACAAGGGAGCGAGTTGTAAAGATATAGACTTTCGCACCGTAAGTGACAGTATGGTATTGTTCTGGTTCCTGCTCTAACTTGTGCGACCGTAGGGCACCCCCACGTTTATGTCTTATCGAGTTTTGAAAATCCCTGTCGGCCAACGCTACGAGCACTCCTTCATGGACGACTTGGAGTCGTTCTTCTGGGTCATCCTGTGGTCTGTTCTGGAGCACGTCGACGCAAACAGCACTCGCCTTGAGGTTGCTGAACAGATACGGGGGGCCGCACCGATACTAAATCGCCTGGATCAATTCAAACTCGACAACATTGCTTCCGCGAAGATGGAACTGCTCGCGGACTGTTCTTTGGAAGATGGTCACGCTATGAAGAGCAACCTCGCTTCCTGCAAAAGTAGCTGGGCAGAGGATCCGATGATAGTGAAACTTATTTTGAAGCTGGGTGTATATTTCTTCGGGATAAAACGTGCGAAGATTGCCAAGTATACGCCAGTCAAGGTCTTTCCGGTGGTTGTCAAGATGATCACTGACGCGTTGGAGCAGTCAGAGTTTTCGTCATCAGAGTCTGAAAGTGATTAGAAGGGGTGCTTCTATCTCATGCTAACCCGTTAGACGCTTTAGGTTGCCTGTATATTATTATGCTTAATCATATCAATTATATGGATGAATGAAAACTGGAAATGATTGATCGATGGTACATGGGTGCTCACGAATTTCAGCTCGAGACAATAGTCTCCGGCGCGATGTTCCTGATCCGCCTGCTGGGGTGCAGCCGGCAATCCGTTGAAGGTGAGCAATTGATCATATGCACATGACATCGAAGGTAGATATAACATACGACTTAATTTTGCTACGAGCAAGCAAGGTACATACAAAACAACTAACTTGGGCATTTATCTTGCATTTAATCTCGCTGCTGTGGTGATCGATCAACGTTATAAATAGTACCAATTAGGACTCACGTGATCGTGATGGGAATCAGCGCCCTGAACTGGAACTACCACCAGTAACATTAGCTCGATGCTCTAACCAATTGAGCTAACCAACCATGTTACCCAGTGAACTCACTTAGACTATCACCCACTAAGCTGCTCGCGGGTGAACTTCTGATTTCCCCGCCGTCTACATTCCACCTCCTACAATTCTCAATCGTCCCTCCCCAACCGGGCCCGTTAGCCCGCTCGCCTTACGAGAATCACACTTTATCCGGGAGCGTGCCTCGTGGCCCTAGTTCTCTGTGCCTTTAAGATGCTCGTCTTCGTCTCGTGGATGCTTCGCTGCGGCCATCCAGCCCGTTCTTCATATGTTCTACCGACGCCAAGCTGATCGGCTTGGAATGTGCCTGCTTCATACTACTCGATATACTCTCTTAGCGCTCTCCGCTTTCCTTTTGCGGAGGATTCAGCATCCTCTGGCTTGGCACCCATCAATCTTTGTCTAATATTGCAAGTGACTCGAGTTTCTTTCATCTCGGTAATACCACAAAATGTCCCGACAAGTCCCGAGCGCCGATATAAATACATGAGCGTTATTCTGTAGCTTTATCGTGCAATGTCGTCTCGTGCGATGAGGTCAAAGCTGCGTCTCGTCGACCACACGCTAATGCTCTGGCTGTTTGCTGGCTTCCTCGGTACTACACAAGCTGCGTTGGTTGACTTGACTAGCGCAAATCGAAGAATTCAAGTGCCTGGGCTGCCAGGTACTTCTCGTTTAAAGTTAACTTAGCCCAAGATCTAACTTCAAGTAATAGACTGGTCAAAAGTCGGGTTCGAGGGTGGTAAAGCCCTTCCAGATAACTCTAAAGGTTGGTTTCTCTAGTCCTCAGATGTTCGTAATACTCTGATTCAGATGATTTGTAGTCGCATATACACTTTCAGCGGCCCAGCTAGCATCCACGTATGGATTGATTCCGAACGACGGGTACGTCCTACGTTTTATATCCT